CATTTGAATTCAAACTCCTGAGTGGAGTTTAAAATCCAATACAATACATCTCATGTATTCATATATTGGTTGAAAACCCTAAAAATCCCGGTTTAAGATTATTATTGACGAGGATTCTCTTATTGGGCTTAATGGACCAATAAACATTCAATTTGACTAATTTGGGCCTAGGAACCATACTTGGGCTCTAATTGGACCCACACTCACGACATTATGGTATTGTGGGTCATATGGGCCTAAAATGATCCATCTTATTTCTAATGGGTCATGATGGGCCATAATTAATTTCATAAGCCCTAATGGGCCGTAAACTACATCCTTGGGCTTCTTTGGGTCGTGAATCCTCATAAAGGCCCAATAGATCGAAAAATATTTATTTTGGGCCTCATGATTTCGAACTAAAGCAAGAAAAGGCCCAAACCAATTCATTTTTTTTTCTTACCCTATTCTCGGCCCAACATCACAAAAAAAAAAAAAAACAAAAAAACAAATGGGAGGGAAAATGGTGGTGGTGGTGGTGGTGGGGGGGGGTGGCACCTCATTAATACATATTGGATGTCCATGCAAGAGTGCATGTATCCATGCAACTCTCACATCACCCTATACTAAATTCAACCTCTTTTCTTTCTTATCTCTCACTCTATCTCTCGGCCTCTCACCCTCTCTCTCTCTCTCTCACTCTCCAACCTCTCTCACATTTCAAGATCAACACTTATTCTCTCAACACTCTTACACCCTTCTTCTCTCAAGAAAATCGTGGGTATAGGGAAGATCTTCAAGAGAATCACTTCAAGCTTCACATTGTGGTAAGATCTTGCAAATCCAAGTTGATATACTTAATTTTTAAGCTCAATCACTCTTCTTACACCCATGTTTTTCGTGGATCATGTTTCTTAGACAATCTTAGAGTTTGAAAACCTTCTCAAGAAGCTTGCTAGGGCCGAGATCTTCTCATTTCCTCCCCTAAAACCGAAAACATCAAAGCAAATTGAGTTCATACCCCATAATTTCGATTTTCACTTTGTTTTGGGGGAGAATACAAGTTGTTTTGTGTAGATCTATGTGTGTATGCATGATTTTGCATGTTTTCTTTGGTTACATATGAGTTTATGTGTTGTAAACTTCATGAACTAAAAGATCCACTAAAAAGATGATGATATTGGTATAATATAACACTCCTTTCAACATATCTCACAAGAAAAGGGTTTAAAATACATCAAGAATAGTTGAATCTAAGAAAACTTCATCAAAGGGGCTAAAAATGACAAAATATAGGTTGTTTTTGTAACTCTCGGTTGGTATGTGGATCAAAAGGAAATATTTGCTAAACAATGGCTAAACTCGACATTTGAACCCTTATAGGGACCGAAAATGTAAATATTTTTATGAATGGGCCTTATTTGGGCTTCTCACAGTTTTGGGCTCAAAAATGATAATTTTTGGTCTTTTATGGGTTAAATTGTCATTTCCAAGAAAGTTGTGTCAAAAATGTAAATTTTTTATAAAATGGGGTTAAAGTTGTGAAATTATGAACATTTGGGCCAAAAAGATGATTTTTTTTTATAAATGGACCGAAATGTATATTTTCACAAAAACCAAGCTAAAAATGATATTTTGACAAATATGAGTTAAAATGTTATTTTTTTAACCAAAAACTAGCCATAAATACAAGTTTTGTCCAAAATGCGGACTAAAGTGTTAGTTTTACTAAAATTGGGCTTTAATTGTAAATTTTGGATTATTCGGCCAAGAATGTAATTTTTACAAAAAATGGGCTTTTTATGCTATTTTAATAAATAATTTGGCTAATACTAGCAAAAATAACAACAAACAGGCTAATTTTGTCATTTTCATTATTATTGGGCCTTAGTGGCCCATTTACATGCTTGATAGATCCTGAATGATATTCATATGTTTATTGGGCCTCATTAACCCATTAACATACACAATGGATCTTGGATACTATTTGGGCCTATAGATACCTTACGTGTGAAATGAGCCTTAGTTGTACTTTTACATGTATTTTGGGCCCATGTTATATAATCTCATCCCTTTTAGGCCTAAAAATGACTTACGTGTTTAATGAGCCTCTGTGGTTCGCTTACATGTTTCATTGGGCCCGGAATGAGTTTTATATGTTTCTCTTCGCGTAAAATTCGATTAAGGATCTAGTGAGACGTGTCAGTTGCACTTAATGTGTGTACGATCGTAGCCTGTAGTTATAACTAGAGTCTCTTAGAGGGAGAGTAGGGGTTTGTGTATAGATCTATATGGGGATGACACCCTGCACCTAAGTTGTTCGTTACAGTTAGACTACATCAGTGTAGGGTGACCAAAATCCTTATTTTATTTTCCATCGGCGTTCAGCAAAGCCAAGATAGACAAATTTGTCATTAATTAACATGGTTATAACAACTTACTTAGATGAATTAACATTATGAAATTTACGGGAGACCATTCTCTTTTCTATTTAGATTACTCAGGAACATACCCACACCGATACTCAACCTTGGGGGGTGGTATGGCAACATTCTCTTTTACAGACAACATAGGGTTGTCTGGGGACATTCTCTTTACATTCTCTTCACCTACTTTTGGGATTCTAATAAACAAAAACACACATGCATTAATACCAGATTGAACACAAACACACTAAACCATTTTAAGAAAATACAGGATTTTCTTGTGATTACAAAGTTATACAAATCATTTTCTCAAAACGTGCTTATGAACTCACCAACATTTTTATGTTGACATTTTCAAATTAACTTGTATTCTCAGGAAACCGTTGAAGCAGGTTGAGCTGAACAATTTAATAGATGTCTTGTTATATATTGTTCCATCGTACTTTTATATTTTTGGCATGTAATATTTAAACACAATACTCGTTGTAAACAATGTACGTTGTTATATTACATGTGTGATGATGATGATGTTATGTTTCAATTATATACTATGTGATGATACTACAGGGATGAAGTCACGTGCAAGCCCCCAGACGTTTCCGCCGTCTGGTTCGGGGGTGTGACAAAAGCCCACCAAAGAGTGAAGACTACTTATTCTTCCCAATCCCACAATCGATTTCCTTTTAGGTTGGAATTGGTTAGCTTCCATCTCCTCTGCCATATAGCTGTCTACGTCGTATCCACACCTCATCTACGGCTTCTTCGCTATCGCCACTAAATCTCGTTGGCAACAACTTTAGAAATTCACCCACTCACCGCATATATGTATCTTCAATTCGATCGTTGTACATGGCAACAAACCAAACACCTTGGAAACCATATTCATTGCAAGACTCAAAATCACCCGGATCTTTATCTTAATCTTTTACTCCTTCCACTTGATCTTCGACTCATACTCCTCATTCTTCATGTTTTCTGGCTTCACTCAAAGGAACATATGAATATATGGTCTTTAATGGTGCGATCTATGGTGAACAGGGCTTGATATCTGTGTAATTTGTTTTTTTGCAAATGTGTGTGGATTTTCCCTCTTATCCTTCTTGCTGTGTTTTTATTACATGTGTTGCGTTGGCTGATGCGATGATGAAGGGCACAAATGGTGATGATAGATATCCAATGTAGTGTTGGAATCAAGTGTTGCTGATGAACATAACAATGAATATAGATGAAGATAGTGGTCTATTCAATGGAGGATGAAGACTGTTATGGAGTGGTAAGGTATACAGGGGTATGGTGGTGTTGTTGTGTGATATGGTGGTGTTGGTGGGTGTCAATTAGTGTTGTGAAAAAAGCGATGGTATAAGGTGGTCTGTGATGCGATTGCATGTGTGCCATCACATGGATTCACAAACCCATTAACATTTTTGGATTCAACTAATGGTCATAATCTTTTGGTCGACATAGAAAACCATATCGGAATGAAAAAATGAACAAAAAGGAAAAGATAGTTAGGTTTCATGGTGATAAACTGGGAAAACCCATTTTTCCATATCCTATTGTATCAACTAGATGTCACTAAACTCATACCACACTCCATCTCTCACCTTTCTTCACTATTTCTAAATGCTTCGCCGACACCGCCACCGCTACCGCCACCTCCACCTTCTTCCTCTGCTTCGCCAAAAGGTGTTGTTGGGTTAGGGAAGAAGAAGCAGAGAGTTATATGAAAATTTGCAAAGAGTACAACAAAAAATAGGATTCAATATACTGTAGTGTGTGTGAGTTATGTGGTAATAAAGGTGGGACACAACGTGCCATGTCACCTGTATTACCGAGTGTTTGCTTCATATCTTGCAAAATGGTGTAATTGACATGAAGTTTGAAACTTTAAGAACTAATTACGTAAAAAAATTAACTTCATTGACCAATCCGAGGACAGCTAAAACTTTGTTGTGCTACAATGTTATTTTCTCTAACAAAAAATATACATTGTGTTAACTTACAAGCAATAGTTTATATGTTAATTAACCATCATGATTGAAATTAAAAAAGTCAACAAATAAATAATTTCTAAATTAATTAATCATAACGTTAAATTGTAATTTTAAATCGAAAACCATATTTAATTCCATTTAAATGCAAACCACAAGTAGATACCGTTGAATGGTATGCTTTTAATAGATATATATTTTATAATATGATTCAAATAATTACAAACTTATATATTAAATTATTGTAAAAATTATTATTTTATAGTTAATATTTATGTATACACAAAAAAAACTTTAAATATATGGTTTTATTTTACGCAATATAGTTTGGGTAATTTAAGATAAAAACAAAACTAGAGTTTGGGTAACTATCTAGCTTTATTTTACGCAACGATACACATAATTGCTTAGTTTGGGTAATTTAAGACAAAAATAAAACTAGAGGGGCTACAAGTGCCATCTCTATTTCCTCAAGGGAGCTGTGTGATATGATTAAAACGCGCATGTTTCGTTAAAAGTGATGGTGCTATATAAGGACGGATACAATTGGTGTTCCTAGGGTTTTTTTTTCTTCAGCAAGTGTAGAACTGTAGCAGCGGCCGCCATGGTTTTGAAGTATGTTCCCAATTTCTTTACAATTCGTCGAAAATTTCACGCTTTTTTGTTTGAGTCTCCAAGCTTATTGTTGGTTTTGTTGATTAGGAAGTGGTATAAAATGGCTAATTTTTTAGATACTTGCTTAATCGTCATTTTCCCCCAATTATTTCAATCCAATCTGTTGCAATCATATTAGGGTTTCCAAACCGTAAGTAAAAGAGGTCGAAGCTGTATTATTAGGGTTAGAAACGCGATCAACTAGAGATATACAACGATATATGCTCTTAAGATCTAGGATTGGTTATAGGTTTTATCGACATTGATTCTATATTCATATGTGGCCAAACGTTTCTGTTGCGTTACATCTATTATCACGACCAAAAAATGTAGATGTTTAGCTCTGCTTGTATATCTCTTCAACATGAGCTATACGGTTTGTTATGAAATCTAATCGTATGTACTTTTGATTTCCTTTTTCTAAATCGTTACATACCATGGAAACCCCTCAAGTTAACTGACAACTACGATGAATCGTTTGTAGGACTGAATTATGCCGTTTCAGTGGCCAGAAGATATATCCTGGAAGGGGTATCAGATTCATTAGATCAGATTCTCAGGTACATGATCTGATTATACATGTCAAGATTGTTATACTTTTCTTGAATTAAAAGACTTTCGTTCTTCAATCTAGGTTTTCCTGTTTGCCAATTCCAAATGCAAGAGGTACTTCCATAACAAGTTGAAGCCTTCCAAGCTCACATGGACAGCCATGTACAGAAAGCAACACAAGAAGGTCAGATTCAAAATCTATTGATTTGTTTTTCCACTCATTTTGATAATAATCTGACCAATTTTTATTCTTGGCATTCAATTATTTCAGGACATTGCTCAGGAAGCAGTGAAGAAGAGAAGACGTGCAACCAAGAAGCCATATTCAAGAGCCATTGTGGGGGCCACTTTGGAAGTTATTCAGAAGAAAAGAAGTGAGAAGCCTGAAGTTCGTGATGCTGCTAGGGAGGCAGCTCTTCGGTATATGTTCATTCCTTTTTTAGGTTTTCTTTCTTTTTTGTGATATTACCATTTGAACCAAAAATCTTCTATTTATATTTTTTTTTTTACATTCATGAAATTTTAGTGAGATAAAGGAAAGGATTAAGAAGACAAAAGATGAGAAGAAAGCAAAGAAGGCAGAGGTGGTGTCAAAACAAAAGACTCAAAGCAAGGGTGGCAATGCCCCTAAAGGTAAAGGACCTAAGTTAGGAGGTGGTGGTGGCAAGCGTTGAAATTCCACCACTTTTATTTTTTTGATGATTTTCTTGGTTGAACATTTTAATATTTTGTATTGTTTATGATATTTGCTTCTGAGCGACCTTGTCTTTTAGATGTTTGTTACTATCTTTTACCAATTTTGAGAGTGAAGCATCTGCAATATGTTGTTTTGGATCAAATTAGGGTTATGACTCTGGTCATTGGATTTTAGCAAACTTTATGTTGTTTCATTTTAGCTGTTGATTTGTTTTGTTGATTTTAGCAATCTTTATGTTGGTTTGCCTCCATTGTGAAATGGCATTTGTTAATGCTCTTTACCACAAAGAAAGTTAAGTTTAAACAATCTTGTATTGGTTTGGTTCCAAACTAAAGTTGAGTCTAAATAATCTTGTTTTAAAGTGTTTTTAGAGAGTATCTATGTATGTGAGGATGCCAGTGTTTGACATCTTCATTTTCATAGTTAAAAATACCTTTTTTTTTTTTTTTTGTTTAAATTAGCGTATCATTTTTGAAGAATAATATTGTGAAATTTTTCCCCAAAAACATGATAATCTTCTTATCAAAACATTTTCGAAAAAATATCTTTTATTTATATTAAAACATCGAGATGCCCTCGTCAATACAGAAATCTGGTAAGTACATAGGGTTTCCGACTCACAATAATAAACTTATTATGTTTAATCATCAAACAATTAACGAAATTTCCATTCCAATTATTTTCTTTATTCTTAAGGATCTTTCTTAAGAATCATCTATTCTTCATTTATTCATTCCTAAGGATTGTCATAAGGAATACGCACGAAATCCATCGCCGTCAGGTTATCTATTAGGTATAGCTGCCAATGTTATGTATTAGGTACAACTGCTAATGTTCATTTATAAAGCACCAAGTCCATATCTGCCAGAGTTTTTAGAGTACATCTAGCGTACACGTAGTTCAAAAACACCTACAAGATGTGAGCCTAGTAGCGTTCTACTGGACTGTCTAGAATAGTCTGTGGTTACCATCTATACTATGCTAGATGACTGGATCAACTTTAAAGTCAAGGCTTCTCATCATCTTTCACCTCTCATCTATATCATCTTTCATCTACACATTTTTACCCAATATATTTATAGGTATAAAAATACATATACAATTTAAATCAAGTAAAACATGTATAAATCGTTCATCTAGCATAGATATCAGGAACACAGATAATAAGTGCATACAAAATGTATTAATATTAAATACTTCATATCTATGTGTAAGATGAAAGTAACTGTGCACTCACTTGTTAAAGTGACGACTCGAAATTTGGGCAGCGCTTCGCTTCTATCAACTGTCTTTTCCTTTGATGTAGTCTAGTGTCATTATCACTAAGTCTTAGTCTTATATTTATTACGACTAATTATTAGTCTAGATTCATTATTAACACAAAATCTACTTCAAGATTTATCAAGTAAGGAACAACCATATAGGATCATATCGGAGGTAGGGTCCGTTTGGAATCACTGATAAATCTTGTTTATAGGTTCATAATAACAATAATGAACTTAAACATAAGCTATACTTAAAGTATGATAAGCATAACTTAATTTACAGGTGGTTTAGCGAGAAATCGGACTCTGTGCGGGTAGAACTTTTGAGCCAAAATTTCTACTTCTCGTGGCTTTATGGCGCTCCAGGGCTTCACTATTAACACCTAGGAAGTGCTAGTGAAAAGGATTTAGGACCTTGGGTGTAACACCCTGCTCCGAGTCATTTCATAATACGGGGTGGGGACCAGAAGACCGAGCATCATCAGACTTAGGGCCCTTGAGGAAAAGAGATTTAGACCCATTTGGGTGTGGGTAGGATAATTTGGATGATCCGGGAAGTTCGGTTTGTGTTTTGGAGCCAAGGGGTATTTCGGTAAAGTGTTAGTTTGGGCTTGTATGGAATTTGGATTTTTGTTTGAGAGGTTTTAAGGTAAGTATGAGTTGATAGAAGTGTAGAGCTTCTTGTTACATCTTCGTGAATATAAGGATCGTCAAAAATGGACTTATAACAAAGAAGATATGGCCTTCGGAAGATTCATGGTTATAGGGTTTAAGCGAGTACGTGGGGCGTACACATGTGTATGCATGACGTACTAGTTCTGAGGTCAATACGCTGGGCGTACGCCAATCAGACCTAAACCCTAATTTAGGGTCTTGGACCATATTTAAGCTTCTTAACTCACCACCAAACCCTATTATCTTTAGCCTCTATCCCTTTAAACCCTAGAAACGAAACCATAGCCCTCATTTGAGTGGTTTTTGAGCTTTTGGTGGTATTTTAAGCATTTTGGTGATCTTTGAAGAAGAAGGAACTTCTTGGAAAAGTGTGGGATTGTTTGGAGCTTTTGGATCTAGGCTTGTTACATCTTTATCTATCATTTAGAGGTAAAAAGTTTCTCTCTTGATGACTCTAGGTGTTAGATCTAGTTTAAGGAGAATTTTAGGTTCATTTTTGGTCCTTAGAGTCATCCATGTGAGTATGAGCTACTCCATTAGCTTAATATGATAGATCATGACATTTGGGAGGTCCCTTGTTTATAAAAATGTAATATTGATGAGTTGTGTTGGATCATTCATGAGTTTGGCTGCTTATTATGGTTTATATTAAGGTTTTTGGTCCCATTAAGCCATGAAAAGGGAGTAAAGTTGCCAACTTAACGTGTTAAGACATCTCATTAAGGTCATATCTGAGCTTGGAAGTCATTGGCTTAACCATTAAGAGCTTAGTATGGATTTTTGGTCCCTGATGAGTACACTGGAATTACACTTAGCTTAATGAAGGTTTTATGCATCGTTTATTTGTACCTTGTGCTTCGTGGGTGAGTACGTGGGGCGTACTCCTCAACAAGTTGACTTTGGGCTTTTTAAGACTTAGGCCTTGTTGGACCAGTGGACTTTAGACTTTGGGCCATGGATGGACTTAGGGTTTTCTTGGAAGTAGGTCCATGATGGTCTGGGGACCAATCGGGTTATTGGACCATAATGGGCTTATGTTGCTTTTGGTTTGGGCCTTGGGTTGCCATTTTGGGCTTTTGTGCATTTGGGTTGGACCTTGGTTATGGAACAAGTAAGAAAAGGGTAAAATGGTCTTTTACCCTTTAGGAAGCTAGTTTATGGAGTGGGCCTCGAATTTTGGGTTATCGGGTTAATTATTGATTAAAATTGTATTTATTAATAGCTGGTGCGAGGATTTCCGGTTCAATGACTTGGGCAGTTATTTGGCTATCAGCGGAATGAGGCGAGTCTCCTCACTGTGTTTAGCGGGTTGAAGGCACCAATGCCGGCTCAAGGTTTATTATGATAGGATGCTAGATGTCTAAATAACTCTTGCATGTGTATGTGTAACATCGCCCTCTGGCACATATCATAATATTGTCCGCTTTGGGCTTTGGGCGTGAAAACTTCCCATGGGGTCAGCCATCCCTGGATTGCTCTTGCCGATCACTCTTAACTGCGAAGTTCTTATGGGACCTGCTGCCCTCAGGGCTTTGAAACGCGTTGTGACAAGGAAGGTATCCATACCCCTTATAAGGAGTGTTTAGTTCTCCTTCCAAGCTGATGTGGGATCAATATCAACCCACCTTCACCCCATTATAGGGTTTGACATCCCCGTCGAACACATCGACATCCCTGTCGAACACATCGACCCATGCCCTAGCTCTGATACCATTTGTAACACCCCCTCTTGCACGTACACAATATTGTCTGCTTTGGGCTCCAGGTGCGAAAACTTCCTAGGGGATCACCCATCCCTGGATTGCTCTCGCCTGAGCATGCGTAATTGCAAAGTTCTTATGGGATCTGCTGCCCTCGCGACTTTAAAACGCGTTGTGACAAGGAAGGTGTCCACACCCCTTATAAGGAGTGTTTAGTTCTCCTTCCAAGCCGATATGTGATCAGATGGAACCCACCTTCACCGATAAAGTACAGTACCCAAACCCTTCCATGCAGGGTCAACAATCCACAACTGTCGTAATCAAATGAGGCTACCTGGCCTATGATCCGTTCGCACTTGCGGCGCTCCTCAGATCTGCTCCAGCAATGGAGTAAGCACTATCATCCTCAAACATATGTATCAGATCGGGGCCGCTACCGCCTTGCGGCTCAGGGTGTTACTATGTTGGCCTTGCCCTGGTGATAAAGGATCTCATAATCGTAGTCCTTCACCACAACTAACCACCGGCATTGCGTCATGTTCAGATTCTCCTGATCCATGAGGTACCTCAGACTCTTGTGGTCTATGTAAATGGTACAACGGATCTCGTAGAGGTAATGCCGCCAAATGTTGAGGGCGAACACCACAACCCCCAGCTCTAAATCATGCGTCAGATAGTTAGCCTCGCGAGGCTTCAGCTGACTCTAAGCATAAGATATCACATGACCTTGCTGCATCAAAAATTCTCCCATGCTTATGGTCGAAGCATCACAGTAAACTACAAAATCCTCTACAGCCTATGGTATAGTGGGAATCGCAGCCTCACACAACCGCTGCCTAAGCATCTCAAAGGCTGTCTACTGCTCAGGTTCCTAACGAAAAGCCACCGAGTTCTTGGTCATATGGGTCAAAGGAACTGCAATCTTGGAGAAGTACTGAATAAATCTCTTGTAATACCCTACCAGACCCAGGAAACTCCGAATCTCAGATGGAGACTTCGGAATCTCTCACTGCATCATGGCCTCTATCTTGGCCAGATCGACCAGAATACCCTTCTGGTTGACAAGATGCCAAAGGAACTGCGCCTCACGCAACCATAACTCACACTTGGAGAACTTCACAAAAAGTCACTCCCTCCTCAGTGTCTCCAACATCTCCCTTAGGTACTCCTCATGCTGCTCTTGAGTCTTGTAGTAAACTAAGATGTCATCAATGAAGACTTTTATAGACTGATCCAACATCGGTTTTCACACGTGGTTCATGAGGTGCATGAACATGGTTGGAGCATTGGTGAACCCAAAAAACATCACCACAAACTCATAATGACCATAGAGAGTCCTAAAAACTGTCTTCTGCACATCATCATCCTTGACTCGCTTCTAGTGATACCCTAACCGTAGATCAATCTTGGAGAAGCAAGATGGCCCTTGAAGCTGATCAAACAAATCATCTATCCTCGAAACTTGGTAACGGTTCTTCATCGTTACCTTGTTCAGCTCCTGGTAGTCTATGCACATGCGATGTGACCCGTCCTTCTTCTTCACAAATAGGATCGGCGCTCCCCATGGTGAACTCCTCGGCCTGATAAAACCCTTGTCTAGCA